ATGATCCTTCTGCAGGTTCGCCTATGGAGCTTCTCCCGGCAGCGTCTTCTCGGGGGTCGCCGAGGGGAAAGGCGCCAGCTTGGATGACGACAGTATCTGGTCGTGTTGACGGACCAGGTGCGCGGTGGTAGGATACTGAGAGGGGGAGGGAGGGAGGGAGCAGAGATCGAAGCTCCGCTCCGATACCAGTGTGGCAGCGCGTGGTGGACACGCGCGGAGATGGTGAGAGAGAGGAGAGAGAGGGAGAGGAGATGGACACACACATGAAGCAATAGCTGAGTGGAGGTCCAGTCCGGCTCAATGAACGAACGAACCACCGAATGAATGAACCTGCCGCCCTGGATGAATGAACCTGCCGGCCTGGACCTAGGCCGAAGTGATGTACCGGCCTGGGTCCAGTAGCGGAATAACCTGGTACCGGACCAGGGTCAGGCCGGCGGCCTGAAACTGGTCCGGCCTCACTGCCGGGCCGGAGGGATACCGCTCCAATGCAGCTGTTGTCGCGGACGGTGCGGGTCGGCTAGCAACGAAGGCGGGGAGTTCACCTTACTCCTGCACCAAGGCTTGGGAGACGATGACGATGGAGGACTTGATCTCAGGTTCGGGTTGTGTTCTGGCGGCGCTAGGGAGGCGAGTCGTACGTTCATCATCGATGCCGATCCTTTGCCATGTGGCCTTCAACATGCTGGAAGTGAGCATACAGAGCAGTCCACACTTCGTGGTGGTGCGTCCATTACAGGCGGTGTTGGGCCATCGCTAGCAGCCCGGCAGTATGGATCGACTGCACCGTCTGCCGATCGATTGACAAGTACCTGGCCCACACGCACTGGAGTCGCAGCCGGGTCCCTGCGCATCGGCGGTGCACGTCCTTCGATGCCCAACCGCACAACGCCGACCCAACCCGACCTGAGGGACGAGGGCGCCCACATACCACAGGTGCGTCCATGACCCACTGTGGAAAGCATCACACGAGGAGTGTCAAACATGCAGGCCCACAGCGATGGCGGCGACGACTATGGCGGTGGAGGTGACGATGCCGACGAAGGATTCAGGGAGGACGTGGAAGCAAGGGACGACGACGAAGACATTCCTATTTGGCCTTTGGGGAAGACGGGTGGGAGGGGGAAAGGACGCAGCAGAGGTGTTGTTCGTGGTCGATCTGTTGGCTGTGGCGGCAGACGTGGCGTCAACGACGACGGCGGGAAGTCTGCGACGTACTGGTCTCTGGAAGACCAAGTGCTCCTGGTGAGATGCAAGCGGGAGCAAGAGATGCACCTCGCCGGGCTGGGTCACAATTACGGGCGGATGCGGACCAAGGAGTGGAAGTGGGATGACATTGCGAAGCGCATGACAAACGCGGGGAGGCCTAAAGACGCCGATGACTGCATGAAGAAGTGGGAAAATCTCTTCCAACACTACAAGAAAATACAGAGGTTTAAGAATGTCAGCGGCCAGGCAGATTTCTTCAGGCTATCGAATGAAGAAAGGAAGGAGCACAACTTCAAGTTCCGGATGGAGAGGGTGTTGTACAACGAGACCCACGCAGGCATGCTGGGGAACCATACAATTTTCCCTCCCAACGTCGCCGACACCGGCAGTCCGGACGTTGTGCAGCTGCCCAGGCGAGGAGCGGTTGGTGGGGAGTCTGTTAGTAGTGAGGCCGTTGGTGAAGGTTGCCCTGAAGAATGTTCTTCTGCGAGGGACTCCGACAACAACGCAGGAAGTGGGGCTGGAGCAGGGAAGTGAAAGAATGCGCGTCAACAGGCGTTGGAGTCGATCGCTGATGTCATGGACCGCCATGGCGAACTGATGTCGGCGACGATCGATTCGTCTAGCAAGCGACAATGCAGCATACTCGAGCAGGAAGTTGCAGTCCAAAAAGCACACTATGCGGCGTCCGATGAGACACAGAGGATGATGTGCCACGCACTTATGGAGATCGCTGCCGCCATCCGTGGTTGGTCGCCGATGTAGGCCGTTCAATCATGTGTTGATTGAAGTCCAGTCATTGCGTTCGTAGTTGGCTTAATTTCTTTTTATTTTTTTTGTTCACGGATTCTTCTATCGAGGAGCACGGTGGTAGACCGCACAGTGTGCGTGTGTGTGTGTGTGTGTGTGTGTGTGTGTGTGTGTGTGTGTGTGTGTGTGTCTCGTCCACACAGTTGTGCGGGTAATTTTTTTTTTTTTTTTTTTTTTTTTTTT